GCAGTAGTGTACCGTAGCTAGGGGGGGAACGGGGCAACGGCCGCTCCCCCACTGAGCACAAGTGGTGCCTTGTCAATTTCTTGGTGCCTTCTTACTCACCTGGGGGAGCGATCAAAGTTTGGGGCGGGCTCTTGAACTACAGGACATGCAGTGGAGAGGTGAGTCTGTACAACTTAAGGTGCACAGATCACAAACTGATCAAATTGGGGTTGGTGAGGGTGACCTGTGTCCTATAGGGGCATTGCAGGCATATGTGGCTCAATAGCCATCTGGTGAGGGTCCCCTGCTCAAATTCCAGTTTGTGGGAGTGTGTAAGAAGGTGCTGTCATTCTTAAACTTGCCACTGGGAGATTATGGCTCCCACTTCTTCCATATGGGGCCTCAACAGCAGCTACCCAGTTGGACATGGGTGCGTCAGAGGTCCAGGCTATAGGGCACAGATGATTTAGGCTCGAAGTTCTTTGTGTGGTTGCCTGAGGGGAAGCTGATGGAGTTGATGGGCCATAATCACCACAGGCTTTCACAGTGTCTGCTTCCTTCCCCATGTCTATCATACAGAATGATGTAGGCATCCATGCATGCCTACAGCTTGGGATATGGATTTGGGGGCACAGCATTGTGCACTGGGTTTACAAGAAAGCATTCAGCAAGGGCCTTGCAGCTGGGTATTGGGCTGGATGGAGTTGTGTTTGGCACAGCAGATGGGCATGCGGTGGGATCAGCCCATGGATCTTTTGAATAGCCTGATGCTCCATCAGGCTTGTTATCCACCTAGGATGACCTGGGAATGTGCAATGGGCTCCAACTGATCTGGGAAGCTAAGTGGGTTATTGGACTACTGGTTGACTTGGTTTCCTGGTGTGAGGATAGTATGGTTGGACATTCTAGCCCACGGGATTTGGTGGACTGCTGTCTATCCACAAAAAAGGTGGATAGGGCCCAGAGGAAAGCCAGTTTGAAAGAATCAACATGGCTGAAATCCCAAGGGGACTGAATGCACTTCTGATATACGTGCTGATTTGTTCCTGGATGATCTCAGTATTGGGTTGGCCAAACTTCTAGGCAGCCTGTGCAGAATGGGGTGGAGGCACCCAAGCTGATCCTGGTGCCCAGGGCCGGCTCCAGGCACCAGGCACCCAAGCACATGCTTGGGGCGGCACCTGGTAAGGGGCGGCGGGGGGAGCTCGGTGTGGCATTCTGCGGGGGGGAGGGTGGCGCTCCGGCAGTGTGGCACTGGGTGGCGGGCTCCGGTTGCGC